TTGCTGTCAGGCTGTGAAACCCATGACAAGGAATAGGAGAAGTCATGGAGGGAGAAAAGTTGGGCCTGTGCTGCTGCCCACACCCTGAAGTATCGCCATGATGTCAGTGTTGAATTTCAGATATAGAATGAGCTCAGCAGCTCCACCTACATACATCCTCCTCTCAGCCACTTGGCTCTCCAGAGGTTCAAGCAGTCCTGAGCTGAAGTGAATTTTCAGGTATGTGGAGCTGTTAAAGTGAGAAAACTATGATGACGAGGTATTAAAAACATACACTGCGTCTGATCTACTTTAGAACCATTGATAGAGAAAACTGTATGTTTCCTGTCTTATTTTGCTGCCATTTTTTTTCTTGTGCTGGTGGTTTGTGGTTATAAAGACTGGTGATTGGCCCACTCTGCAGTTAGCCACCCACCTGATCCTCCAGCTGGTGTTTCGCCTTATTGGATTTTCCATGCCAAGCTTGACTCTCCTTTTTACTTCTGCACAAAACATCATTTTAAATATTAGTGGTGAGTCACAGTCTTGGATGGAAATTCTTGTGGTTTTGGAAGAAGTGTCTTTCATTATTTTCTGTTAGTTATTTCTGGACAGATCAATTTCATTGCCACTAAAGACAAATGTTTACTGTTACTACTGTGCCTCTGCTTTTAAAGTTGCTACAGCCTAGATGTATGTTTAGAAATCGAATGGCAATAAAAAGGAAGCTTTTTCTTGTTCTGGTATTAAAAGAATGTGACTAGGGTTGAATTCAAATTCCCAGCATCCCCACTGTGGTCTTGCATCTGTTAGTTCCTGCAGTACAGAGATGCTTAGAATACATCAGGGACTGAAGGCTAACATTTGACCAGGCCCAGTGGAAACAGCGTGTGAGAGTCCATCCAGAACACAACACGGCAGAGCTCATCCATCCATTATCTATACCGCTTATTCCTGAATAGGGTTGCAGGGGGAGGCTGGAGCCAATCCCAGCGGACACTGGGCGACAGGCAGGGTCCACGCTGGACAGGTCACAAGTCAGTCACAGGGCTGACATGGAGACAAACAACTACACACTCACAGTCACTCCTACGGGTAATTTAGAGTTGCCAGTCAGCCTAAGCTGCATGTCTTTGGACTGTGGGAGGAAGCCACAGTACCCGGAGAGAACCCACATAGGCACAGGGAGAACATGCAGACTCCACACAGAGAGGCCCCCGGTTGGCCCTGGCAGAACCCGCCTCTCAGCGGCAACAGCGCTAACCACCGCCCCAGCAGAGCTCATTAAAGCTTAATTTAGACTTATCCATAACTACATGTAGGCGTTGATGCATATGTACCTACACAGTAAACGGGCTTAGGAATAAATGTAAGTTGCTGATGGTTGCAGACTGTCTGGTGCGCACACCTCCCAGATCTCAACCATGCGTTGTGCAAAGCTGCATGTCCTGCACGTCGACTGGTTGACTCTGCTCTGACCAAGATGAAGCTGTCGGCTATTATTCTGTTAGTGGGTACTCACATCTCCAAAAATGTCCAAGTAAATTGGGATTTCTCTGCTAGACTGACCATCCTTTCTCAATCTAAATGGTTACTTTCTCACCTGAAAAAATATCAACACTTAATAAAGTGGCATACCAGTCATAGGACAAAAATGATAACATTTATGAATCTGGCACGTGTAAATACAACAGCTATGCAACCATCTTTGAATCACAGATGAATAATGTTCCCAAATCTCCCAACTCCAGACCCAAATTCATCTGAATTATCCAAATCTTGTGCAGGACAAATGGAAGCAATTCATCTTTCTGCAGCCAAGTCAATAAATGGGAAGCTGATGGTAACTAATGGTGCTCTGTTCTGAGTTTCTCTTTTTCTGTTTCATTCAGCAATTCCTCTCACTCGGCTCCCTTTCCTCTTTTTCAGTCACTTGGTGTTGCCTCAGGCCCTGAATTCCTCTTCCCTTAATTTTTTTTTAACTACAATGACTGGGGGAAATGGGGTGTGATGGCTCACCTTTATTTAAACTGAGACTCCCAAAGTGCATCATGCATTATAATGAGAAACTGCTTTATTCACACAAGGCTCTTTCTGTCTCTGTGCACGTTTGTCCCTCCAGTGAGGCAGAATACCTTGGTCCTCTCTGCCCGATGAGGAGCAGTGTACTGTTTCCCACACATCTCTTTTTTTAAATCTTGCTTTTACCCCAAACATCTACACAATACCCCCTTTTTCCCTTCCCTGTCAACACTAGAGTACCCTGTTCTCCACTTGGCTGGCCAGTCGGCTGTGCGAATGTGCCTCGTCACTTATGTAACATCATTTCTTGAGTCACTGCCTCCTGCTCAGTGCCATTGCATAACCTGCCAGCTACCCTGTGCCTAGTCAAGGAGGGTCCTTTTTCCTCTGCCTTTTTGAGGCACAAATATGATCCCCTAATGGACATGGCATTAAGCTTAGTGACAAAAGGCAGGCTGCCTGCCCCACAACACAGGTGAATCCACTGCACCTTCCAGCAATATGATCTGTTACACAACAGTACAAAGGAAAAAGTTGGTTGTATAGAGTTTATTCAAATGATTTTACATGGCACGGTCACGTACGACCATAATGCAAGACAGACTCAAAGCAACGGCGGAAGTTACAAGTAATATAAGAGGCTATGGGTTGTTTGACAATGAGGATGAACTTCATTTGATCACTTCAGTTCATACTGTACATGTAGCTGGCTTTTTGTCTAGGTCCAACCAGGTAAAACTACAGAACACATTTCTCATTACGTGATTCCTAGATGTGAAACAGCAGACAAAGTCCTGGATAGGGGTGCATTTCTGGCAGTTGTGTCTGAAAATATTCACTTATTCACCATTCCCTATATTATAGACACCTAATAATTTTGCATCATTGCTGTCAGCTGTAGGACCTAATAATAATGGCAATTTTGCATCATTGCTGTCAGCTGTAGACTCACTTAATGGCAATTTCTAAAATACTAATAGTTGATTTCATTCAGAAGAGTCTAAGCACTGCTGCACTTTGACTCTGTCATAAGACCCCTCAAGGTCTGATTATTCAATTATCTAGATCTGAAAGTGGAATTCCACTGATACAGTCCTGCTTCATCTCCTGAAGGCATAAGCAAGGCTTGCAGACCAGATGTTTTTGAAGTCCCTGTAGTTGGGACACATGTCCTGAGCACTTGGGGAAGGGGATGAGAACCAGGGTGAGCATGCAAAGGGGTTCAGGAGGATGAACAAGTCACCGAGCCAGGGACTGTGGAGAAGCACTTTGCCTGCAGCAC